TTTGACAATGTTCTTTTACATAGACTCTGTATATATCCCACTCTCTGATAAATTTTTCATCTGTAATGTCACATAACCTTGCTGATATTCTCGCCAATTCTGCATACTCTCTTAATTTATTTTGCCAGTCTGATTTAGCCTCAGGCAAGGCCTTCTTCCACCTGCCTTGCCCCACCCTCCAGTCTCTGCTTCTTAGTTTGTATTGTATTATTTTATGCACTGTGGCTTGCCCTTGTTTTATTGATTGTAGTTTCGAAATTATTTATTGTAATTGTTAAGAGTGGGTTTCTGTTTAATTTTTATATGCTGATATTATTATTCTATACTATTCTAATGATTGTTGAATGTTACTTTATTTGATGTAGATTGCTTATTTTAAAGCTGTTTTATTTTTGTATTGCATTAGATTGCTATAAGGTGTACATTCTTTGTTTCTTCAGCTTGTAAACCGCCTTGAGTATTGTAAGATAGAAAGGCGGTATACAAATTAAAAGTGATGATGATAGCCTCTCCCTCCCAACCTTTTGCGATTAAAATTCAAAAAATGTCCAGGAGAGACTTTATGTATGCTACAGTTGCTGCCAGAATTTTAATCACAGGTTTTGTTCGAGTGACTTGCCCTTCCCATCCCCAAAATGGCCCAAGGAAGCCCAAACCCCTTTCCCAAAATGGAAGGACGAAGAGACAACGGCAAACAAGGCAACTTTTATTATTATTATTTCCAAATCTTATTCCACAAGAAACGGTCTGCCCTAACATGATCTTTAGTACAATCCATATTAAATAACACTGTGTTAAATACAAAATACTGATTTTAACAAGAGACAAGTGGTTTTAAAACAGTTGGGTTTCCTTCCTCCAGTTTTCCTGCGGGTCTGTATCTCATCCGCAGTTTCGTTCGCAGACGTTCTTCTCTGAAGTTACAAATTTGTATGAAAAGTTAGTAGAAAACATTTAGGACGATTGTAACAGCTGCCCCACCGCTGACTATATGGCAGGAAGATCTTACAAAGCATAAAAATAACCAGAAAAATCGGAGACTTTGGGAAATCCAAGGCTGTCTGGATTTGCGTAAGGAGAAGGTTTGTAGAAGTGGGGGAACCATAGATTAGGTGCCTGTCCCAACCTGGCGCCCTCCAGATCATTTTGGACTACAACTCCCCTTCTCCCAGACCTTTGAAATTGGGGATGGTTGAAGAAGTCCTGTTTAAGCTATTGCCCTGTCCCAAAGTTTTCAATTATCACGAATGTGAAGATAGATTGGTCAAGAAGTAAGCTCAACAGGATTTGCTTTTGAGCAAATGGGGTTTTTCTTTTTCTTGGAATGGATCAAAATGGCCCCAATCCAACACCCTTATTTTCTGAGTCCATTGATTGCCGTAGTAGAAATCAGCTGTAGTGTGCTACAATCCAGAGTTGGACGAGACCCCTTACCACGGAGGCTGGATCTCCCAACTTTCTGCGGCAACCTCGCCTAATAGGTGGGCCGGCCCTGCCATGCAGCTGCCTTGGGTGGTCCAAAGCCTTGGTAAAGGTAAAGGGACCCCTGACCATTAGGTCCAGTCGTGTCTGACTCTGGGGTTGCGGCGCTCATCTCGCTTTACTGGCCGAGGGAGCCGGCGTACAGCTTCCGGGTCAGGTGGCCAGCATGACTAAGCCGCTTCTGGCAAACCAGAGCAGCACACGGAAACGCCGTTTACCTTCCCGCCGAAGTGGTACCTATTTATCTACTTGCACTTTTTGGCGTGCTTTTGAACTGCTAGGTCAGGGGTCAGCAAACTTTTTCAGCAGGGGGCTGGTCCACTGTCCCTCAGACCTTGTGGGGGGCCAGACTATATTTTTTGGGGGGGGGGAATGAATGAACAAATTCCTATGCCCCACAAATAACCCAGAGATGCATTTTAAATAAAAGCACATATTCGACTCATGTAAAAACATCAGGCAGGCCCCACAAATAACCCAGAGATGCATTTTTTAAAAAAGGACATATTTGACTCATGTAAAAACACACTGATTCCTGAACCGTCTGCGGGCTGGATTTAGAAGGCGATTGGGCCGGATCCAGCCCCTGGCCTTAGTTTGCCTACCCATGTGCTAGGTTGGCAGGAGCTGGGACAGAGCAACGGGAGCTCACCCTGTCACGGGGATTCGAACCGCCGACCTTCTGATCAGCAAGCCCAAGAGGTTCAGTGGTTTATACCACAGCGCCACCTGCATCCCATTTGACTCGGTCCTGATTCCTAACTGGGGGAAAGAGATCTGCGCTTTCTCCTTTTCTGGACAAAGGAGAGGCCAACTCTCCGGTCGAAGGAGGGGAACTCCTTTCGCGACTCCAGCTGGGATGGCGGTGCGTAGAAAGGAAGAGTGAAGGTCACAACTGCGCACCAAGGAATGTACAGATTTGTCTACGGAAGAGTAGGATAGAGAGAAGAGGCTTTCTTTGTGTACTCACTCTGGGGAGCCCGGGGTTAGATTCAAGTTTCTGTCGTGTGTAAGGCAATGTGATCCTGCACGTTCCTGGTCCATCCCTACATGGACTCGATCCGAGCCTAGGATTATTTTTATTTATTGAATAAATAAATAAGCTGAGGTCATGCCGTCTAGGGGTTGCATCCGGAATTTGGGGGGGAAATTTTGTTGGGAGTTTTTGCTGTTATTGATATTAATATTAATTGATATTAATTTTTGGTCGCAACCAGCTATCTGCTGTGCATATAAAAAGGGGAATGTAACTCTGCTACATAAAGGAACTTGCTAGCACAAGTTAGAAAGGATATTAATAAACAATATACCCTCTCCTACCACCCTGAACGTTCCCACACACAGCAATGGAGGCAGCAATGCCAGTCGCCAGAAGCCACGGGAGGGGAGAGCCAGAAAGGGGTCATGGGTTCGAATCCTGGGTTTCCCACTGGGTCATCTGGCTGTCCCCTGGAAGAGCAAAATGCTAAACCAGGTGGACCATTGGCCTGATCCACCAGGCACTTCTTAGGCTCTCCACGTGCCTTTGAAAGTTGCAACAGATCCTGGGATCCTTCATGGGGAAGGGGCAGCTATTTGGACTCAGCATTTGGTCCTTTGAAAGAGAAAGGCGAGCATTGACATCTGAGTAACAATTTAAAAAGCAAATTTGATTCTCCAGCCTCTCCACATGTCTGCTATGTTGGATTGGGGGGGGGGTGTTTCAGGGTGGGGCTAGATATTTAGTCTGTTTACACTTTAACAATATTGTCTTCCATTTAGTCCGTAAGAGTTAAAAATGTAAGTTATTGGCTTTTTTTTTAAGGTATTCCTCTAATATTTTTGGAAGCAGAATTAGAAAAGACCTGAATTTCAAAGACCATCAAAATTTGCTGTTTTGCTGAATTTCCTGTGGCATTTCAGACCATCTGATGAAGGCCCCTTCTGCACCAAACATGATGCTTTAAGCAGCTGTGGCTTCACCCCCAAATACCCTGGGAGTTGTAGTTTGTTAAGGGTGCTGAGAGTTGTTGGGCGACCCCTGTTCTCCTCCAATTCCCAGAGTTGGTTTAACAATCTATCCCTCTTCCGAGGGAACTCTGGGAATTGTAGCTCTCGGAGGGGAACAGGGGTTGCCCAACAGTTCTCAGCACCCTTAGCAAACTAGAGTTCCCAGGATTTTCTGGGAGAAGCCGTGACGGCTTAAAGTGGGATAATACTGCTTTAAAAGAATAGTGCGAACGGAGCCTAAGATTAGATGCAGGTCAGTGAAAATGGGCTGAGACAACTATGAGATAGGATCTCTCTCCCTTTTGCAGTGAAGGAGAACAGATCCCTTCTGGATCCCAGAAGCTTGTAACACATTTCCCTGCCGTTTACATGGCTTGATTCAAAGTACCTTAAAGTGAGCGGCACAAAAGTGCTCTAAAATGAGTTAAGTCTTTTCCTTCCTTCCTTCCTTCCTTCCTTCCTTCCTTCCTTCCTTCCTTTCTTTGCCTGCCAGATATTCTGTTAGCTCTTCCACAAGGAATTGTGGAACAAAAGGAATGGCAAGAGCGTCTAAGATTTGATGGCTTCAAGATCCCAGTATAACTTTGGCTGGTGGGAACTAACGGCACAGTGCTGGTGCTTTTAACAGCTGCCAAGCCAAACCCTCAATTTCTGAAGAAGTGTGCATGCACGCGAAAGCTTATACCCAGAACAAACTTAGTTGGTCTCTAAGGTGCTACTGGACAATGTTTTTATTTTATTTTTTTATTTCGACTGCGTCAGACCAACACAGCTACCTACCTGAACCTCAATTTCTCAGTTTCAATCTTTGCAGGATTAAAGTCCCGGGAAGTTCTGCTTCCATCCCAGACAGCCTTTTGTAGAAATCGCTCCTGCTACACCAAAGGAAGCTTCTTTCTATCTCATCGGACTCTCAGTTCATCTGCCCCAGTATTGCCCAGTCTGGCTGTCCTTTCCATCAGCTGGTATCCTTTTTCTAAGTGGAGACTGAATCAGAGAACTGAGCCAGGGACCCTCTGCACCCGAATTCAGGTGCTCTTGCCACTAGGCTAAAGACCCTGACCTCTTTGACCACGAAGGCTATATAGAATGATGACTTCTTCATTTTTGTAAAATGTTAACTCTAAGACTTAGTTTTCATAGTGGTGGGAAGCGGGTCAGGTCTGTGCTGCTTCCAGTGATGGAATGTTCTTCCATATCCCTGCACATAGAAACAAAATCTGTCAAGGAGAAAGCCAGGCACAGCACTTTTCCTCCTGACAAACTCATTTTCTATGTACAGACGGCTTTTTCAAATGCTCCTGTCGCCTGAGTTCATGCAATCCAAAAGGGCATATCATTTCATCTCCTGCCTATTAGAAGCAAGTTTAGCCTTTTAGGACACTGCGGGAACCAATAGGCAATGTACCGTATTTTTCGCTCTATAAGACGCACCAGACCACAAGACGCACCTAGTTTTTGGAGGAGGAAAACAAGAAAAAAAATATTCTGAATCTCAGAAGCCAGAACAGCAAGAGGGATCGCTGCGCAGCCTGCATTCGCTCCATAAGATGCACACACATTTCCCCTTACTTTTTAGGAGGGAAAAAGTGAGTCTTATAGAGCAAAAAATACGCTATTTATGATTGCATCCTGCAAGTGACGGGCAACAGATTCTTGGCCCTTTCGCACCTTTTCCTGTGGTCATTCGTCACATTCAGGAGTCGCCAAGGCAAACATTCCTGTTTCCATCGAATGGTGTGGAAACAGTTCAGCTGAAGATGTCATTTCAATGTCTGCAACGTCCAGACAAAAGTTGGCGATACAGATTCTGTGGCCTCCAAAAAACTAGCCTAAGCATTTGACTGTCTGGCCCTTGATTGTCCATTCTGTGACATCACAGCAGCTAAGCCAATTGCAGGCAGAAAGGGAGGGGCAGATTTTTGTGTGTTTGTAGGAAATGAGAATGCAACTAGTCAATTATGATGGGCTCTCTGCAGACTGGTATTCATGTAAATCTCCTGTCAGCTTCCGATTCGGTTTCCTTGCTACCAGTTTGTGTCAACGAACACTTAGGACCACAAGGGCAGACACTTCCAAGTTCCTCCAGACAGAGACCTGTTTATCTCCCCACCCCCATTGCCTTTTCAAGAATATCCATTAATTGTTCGCTTCATTACAAAACCCTTGCCTAAAAACACTGATTTATAAAAATAAGAATAGAAAAAAACAACCCTTGGGGCTTGGGCAAGTTTGGCCAAGGAAATAATACTCAAGACCACCAATTCCCATCAGGAGAAGGAGGAATCAGCACAGGGTCCATGTTTCCCAAGGGCGAACCGAAGGACGAGAGTCTGTTGAAAGGCTCCCCGAAATCCCTGGCGCCTCCAAATCCTCCTTCTTAAGGCACCTGTCTACCTGGGGGTTTCTGCCTCGACATCGCCCGGCCGATAGAGGTACTTCCAGATGGCGTAATAGTGGGTGCCAGCTCCCAGTGCCACGAAGAGGTGCCAGATGGCATGGGCGAAGGGGATGCGCCCATCGCTCTTGAAGAAGACAGTGCCCAAGCAGTAGAAAAAGCCACCAGTCACCAGCTCTGAAAGGCCGTCCGTGTTGGGCTGCAACAGGCAAGCGGAAAGAAAGGCCAGCGGTCAGTGATCAGGTGGCGGAATCCAGGGAGCACAGCTGTGAGCCCCTCCTAAATAATTATTATTATTTAGGAAAGTTTTTAATGTCTCATGCTGTATTGTTTTTAATATTCAGTTGGAAGCCACCGCCCAGAGTGGCTGGGGAAACCCAGCCAGATGGGTGGGGTATAAATAAATTATTATTATTATTATTATTATTATTATTATTATTATTATTATTAAGCGTCCCTATTTTCCAGGGACTGTCCCAGATATATAGAAGCCGTCCCGGTTTCTGATTTGATCCCAGAATGTCCCACTTTTCCTTAGGATGTCCCTATTTTCATCAGAGGGTATGGAGTTATGTGACCCCCCCAAGCCGAGAAAATAAGTCACGGCCTTTAGAAGACATCTGAAGGCAGCTCTGTATAGCGAAGGTTTTTTAAATGCTTCATGTTTTATTATGTTTTTATATACAGTTGTACCTTGGTTTTCGAACTGCTTAGTTCTCAAAGGTTTTGGCTCCCGGACGCAGCAAACCCGGAAGTGACTGTTCCGGTTTGCGAACTATTTTTGGAAGCCAGACATCCTACGGGGCTTCCGCGGCTTCTGATTGGCTACAGGACCTTCCTGCAGCCAATCAGAAGCCGCGCTCTGCTTTCTGAACGTTTTGGAAGTCGAACGGACTTATGGAACGGATTCTGTTCGGCTTCCAAGGTACGACTGTATATTGGCAGCCTCCCAGACTCACTGGGAAACGCAGTCATATGGGCGGGGTATAAATATTATTATTGATGTTGTTGTTGTTGTTATGGAATAGGACGTCCCTATTTTCATCAGATAAATGTTGGAGAGTATGGAGAAATGAGAAGTGGCAGCTGCTTCCGGGTTCAGGCAAGATCCTGTGAGAACCCCATGAAATTTTGGGGAATTCTTATGAGATCTTGTCTTTCCCATTTTGCCTCAGGTGGCGAAACAGAACAGGCCACACCTGGGCACAAGCACCTCTGAGCACCTTCGCTGGATGCTAGACGTTACGAGGAAAAATGCAGGACTCTCAGCCTCACGTAACGTGAATCTTATTCATTTAATGCATTTATATCCCACCATTCTCCCTACGTTTCCAAGCACAATTCAAAGTGTTGGTGCTGACCTTGAAAGCCCTAAACGGCCTCAGTCCAGAAGACCTGGAGCGTCTCCACCCTCATCGTTCTGCCCGGACACTGAGGTCCAGCGCCGAGGGCCTTCTTGTGGTTCCCTCCCTGTGAGAAGCGAGGTTACTTGGAACTAGGCAGAGGGCCTTCTCGGTGGTGGCGCCCACCCTGTGGAACACCCTCCCACCAGATGTCAAGGAGATAAACAACTATCTGATGTTTAGAAGACACCTGAGGGCAGCCCTGCTTAGGGAAGTTTTTTTCAATCTATTCTCAACTGCAATTGCTAGCTCAGGTGTCCATTTCTTTCTGCACAATGCTGAATCATTTGCTTTATCTATTTCCTCGTGCTCTATGTAAGAGCGCTGAATTGAATTTCGGCCAGTAGTGGAGGCAGTAGTGGAGAAAGAAATAAACAACTATCTGATGTTTAGAAGACACCTAAATGCAGCCCTGTTTAGTTTTTAATGACTGATGTTTTAATGTATTTTAAATCTTTTGTTAGAAGCTGCCTAGAGTGGCTGGGGAAACCCAGTCAGGTGGGCGTGGTATAAATAATAATTTATTATAATAATATTGTTATCCCCCCTCCCCCGCTTGAAATGCAAGGACAGGACCGTAAGTGCAAAATCAGTGCACTGCACTCCATCCTGCCCGGACACAGGTAACGTACCATGGAGAGAATGACAACCGCAGGAAGGAACCCCATGATGACGTAGCACACCAGCTCCACCAACTTGTATCTGGAAGAAAGGAAAGCAACTCCTTTTGAGATGCAAATGAAGTACTGGGCAGGCTGGATTTGTTTACGAGAAATCTGGGTTCAATTTTCCATCATTTCCCCCGCAATTAAAAACAGGAGGCGTACATAAGGGACAAAAATCTGGGCTTGCGAAAAGTATTTTGTTCCACAAGGGGGTGCTGTAAGCCAACTTTGCGCCAGCCGTAGATGGGCTTAGCTGCACATGGTTTGCCTTGTTAGATTGCTAGTTCCTTCATTTGTGGGGTAGGGACCACAGTACAGTCCTACTAACCGGTGACACGTCGATTTACCCAGAGCTAAACTCTGGGTAGTAATGTGAAAAGGTATTCCGAAACACTTACATGTTTGCTGGTTCACAATTTATTATTATTATTTACTTATATAATAACAGGCCCACCAAGTGTCCCTATTTTCCAGGGATGGCTGCTGCCTTGTTGGTAGCCATCAATAGGCTAATCCATGAATCTTCTTTTAAAGCCATCTAAGATGGTGGCCATCATTGCCTCAAGTGGGAAGGAGTTCCGCAGACTAACTCCGCGCCGCGTGAAGAAACCTGGGACCTTCTGCGTGCAAAGGACTTCTGCCCTGTCACTGTGCCTCCACCCTTCTTGTCGGCACTCAGCGCCCTCAGGGGCATATCGAGGTTTCGACTCACCGTTCATGGAAAAAGAAAACGTAGATGGTCCCGACAGAGGCCATGATCCAAATGATCCAGCGCATGTGGGAAGCCCAGGGTCCCAACTCCCGCAGATTCAGCCTGGGAGAAGAACAGAGACCATTGAGTGCTTGAGAGAAACAGGAGCCTGGAAAGGGGAAGAGAAAGAGACGAACACAGACGAGGAAACACACAAATCCAGAACAGCGAAGGAGGAGGGAGATGGGACTGCAATGCTTACCTATGGACATTATTATTATAATAATGGAGGTCTCAGGGCAGTTCACAGAATAAAATCAAAATATAAAACCAAAAAATAGATAATCAAAATAAAAACAACAACTCAATAACACACACACACCCCATTTTAAAAGGGTATAGGATGTCATACAGGTCAGCCAAGGGCCTGGTTGAAAAGGGACATTTTTACCTGGCACCTAAAGGTGTATAACAAAGGCGCCAGGCGAACTTCCCTGGGGAGAGCATTCCACAGATGGGGAGCCACTGCAGAGAAGGCCCCGTTCTCATGTTCCCACCCTCCAGACCTCTCGAGGAGACAGCACACGAAGGAGGGCCTCAGAAGATGATCTCAGGATCCGGGTAGGTTCATATGGGAAGAGGCGGTCCTTGAGGTATTGCGGTCCTGAGCCGTTTAAGGCTTTATAGGTCAAACCCAGCACTTTGAATTGAGCCCGAAAACTGATTGGTAGCCAGTGCAGTCGGACCAGGATCGGTGTAAGATGCTCAAACGGTCTTGCTCTGGTGAGCGAATGGCTCTGAATTCTGCACTAGCTGAAGTTTCCGAGCAATTTTCAGAGGCTTCAGATGGGGATTATGTGGGTGGCTTCATGAAATAATAACAAATATTATATCTATTATTATTACACATGTATAGGCCATTTATCCCCCGAGGAGCTCAAGGTGGTTCTACACGGTTCTCCTCCCTCACAACCATCCTGCGAGGTAGGTTAGGCTGTGAGGCAGTGACTTGCCCTAGGTCACTCAAGTTTTGGGGCTTGAACCTTGGTCTCCTAGTCCAGTACTCTAACCATTACACCACACTGCCCCTCTTCAAGTTTCTGAAAAGCTGGATACACAGCTCACGAAAACTCACCAAGGGGCGTAGGAGGCAGCTATGAAGAAGTAGATGACCATTCTGTCAAACATGTGCAGACAATGCTCCACAGTCCTGCAGAAGAGAAAGAAAGAACACTGTTTCATACAGGTGTGATGGGGTCAGTCTGGATGATACCTAAGGGTACCTTCCAAACATCTGATCCTGTGCAGGTGAGGCTACATGAACAGGAAAACCAGCCAGACAAGTTCCTTAGCCAGCCAGTCAAGTGCCACCATTTCCATGTCCAAATGAGTTGCCATGGAGACAAATGGGCTGGCCTTTTCCCACCTCACCTGTGTGGGATGTGATACATAAATAACAGTCAAGTACAGCATTCCTTGTTTTCCTAGACTGGACATGCAGGGGAATGTTTGGTCCAGCCAGTCGAAAACTTCCTGTTTCCTCCTGGCCTGTGTTGGCATGCAGAGGGTCGCAAGGCCAGTTGGCTAGCCCTAGCTGGGTCATCTCCTTCCAGCCGTCCCGCTGCGAAGACCCATCGGCCTCTGGTCTGACGTAAATCAACGACCCAGGCTTCAAAGCCAGGGCACACTATATCAGCAGAGCAAACAGTGCACACAGAATAGGCGTGAGGCTTGTGGAAGCATACTACAACTATGGATTTATTATTCATAAATCAAGACAAAGAAACATGTCGTCTCTCTCTCTCTCTCTCTCTCTCTCTGTCTTCTCAGAGACACAGAGAAAAACAAAAGCTATTCACACAACGCAAGTTCCCAGCAAGCTGTGCTGGTATGTAAACAGACATGTGCCATGCAACAGTTCCATGTCTTCAATGGTGGAATGGAATTTTCCAACAGCCTGGAGCATCCTTCCTCGTGCATGTGACCAGAGGTGGGCACGACCTCACCTGTCCAGGTAACAAAAGGACAAGGCACGCAGCACACTCTCTCTCTTTTGACTTCCTCCATTGTTGGAGCAGCTTTTTAGATAGAGATGCTCTGTTGGCTTCCAGAGGACACTGGGATTGTCCCCATATGGGATAGATCCACATGCATATACTTTGTAACTAAGTCTGCCTTCAGGGATCCAACTGTGAACTGATGATGTGAGTAAACGTATTTTATATACTTTACACAAGATTGTGGCGTGTTCATTCTTTTAAGAGGGATATAAGGGGACTTAAAGGTAAAGGTAAAGGGACCCCTGACCATTAGGTCCAGTCGTGACCAACTCTGGGGTCGCTTTATTGGCCGAGGGAGCCAGCATACAGCTTCCGGGTCATGTGGCCAGCAGGACTGAGCCGCTTCTGGCGAACCAGAGCAGCGCACGGAAACGCTGTTTACCTTCCCGCCAGAGCGGTACCTATTTATCTACTTGCACTTTGACGTGCTTTCAAAGGATATTAATAAATAATATATCCTCTCCTGACTCCCAGAACATTCCCACAACCTGGCCGGCTGCTACGCCATCCTAGGATGGAGAACAAGAGGGCAAGGTGGCCTCTCTGCTTGCTGCCGGAAGCTGGAGAGACAAGAGGCCACCCTTGCGCAGCAGACGTCAGAGTTACCGCAAGTGGCTCTTCTTCCAGGAGATGGTGTGGAAGATGGTGGAGACGATGAACAAGCCAGACAGCCCAAAGCCGTAGATCCAGGCGGAGATGGTCTCCCAGGGGTTGTCCGAAAGGACGTGGAGGATGGAGCTGCCCAGGATGCTGGGAATGATCCAGAACTGAGAGGGAAGGAAAGGGAAGAGAAGGCCTTTATGTCCCCCTTGATCTCGCTAAAACTAGCAGATTTCTCTCTCTTTTTAAAAATATTTTTATTAAACAATTTCAACATAACAATTTATCAATCCAAATATTCAGTTACAGTATTTTTTTGTTGGTATTTTATTGTCTTTCCATTTTTGGGCTAGTAATATTCTAGCCACTGTTGCCGCACACATGAATAACTTCTTCTGCTCTTTTGGCAAGTCTTGGCCAAAGCTCCTGGCCTTTTAACAAATGTTATATTCAACATTTTTTTCATTTCATTGTAAATCGTTTCCTAAAATCTTTTGATTATTTTACAATTCCACCACATGTGAAAAATCGTGCCTTCTTTCTCTTTACACTTATATTGAACCGCCCTGAGATCTATGGATAAAGAGTGGTAAACAAATTTATAATAATAATAATAATAATAATAATAATAATAATAATAATACAACTCACAGCATGTGTGGCGCAATTGGCTGCATGTTCATATTCTGTGGGCTGGTATCTCCGGTTGGGCGGCACTCTGTGGTTCATAAACCTTGAAGGAGGAGAGATGGAGAAGAGAGACAGAAGTTCAGCGAACAGGTTGGTCTGCAAGTAACAGTCTGAATCTCACTAGAATGATGGATACAAAAACTATGCAAAAATGGCAAAACCTACAAGAGGAATAAGAAATCAAGCTAACAAACTTTTTGTTTGTTTGACTGTAAATGGTTTATTGAATATGTACAGACAAATTGTAAACAGATAAAAAACACTGGCAGGATTATTGTAATAACTTGCAATTACCTAAGAGTATATAAATAAAGGAGGTAAATAAATGAGTAAGTTAACTGAATCTGAATATGCAGAAGATATTAAAAATAAATTTAAGGAACCACAGAAAGAGAGGAAAGGAAGTCAAGTTTTGAAATGTCAAAATGAGTGTAAAGTCAGTGAAATGACTATATCTGAAAAGTATAAATGATTTTTTTTTACAAAAACCCCCCACTAGAATGGATTCTTTGCCCACCCTCATGAGAAATAATCACTAATAATAATAGTAATAAAATACCAATTATATTTAAGTTAGTTCTTATAATTAATATTTATTTATTGCTAAATTTGCTGGTTGTAATTTAAGTATGTGTTGTTGTTTTTTGAAAGCTTCTCTAAATTTTTATTTTCTATATAAATATTACACACATGCCAGAAAAAAGAGTACAGTTATACAAATAATACAGGTTACCGAATACCAAAAAGCTACTAATAAGAAAAAAATACAAAAAATAAGAAAATGATACATATTGAAAATAAAAAGAAATAAAGAAAGAAGAGATTTTTTTTTAAAAAAAAGTCAAAAGGAAAATAGAAGACGTTGACTTCCTTCGACCACTATACAGTTGATATGATATCATATCTTTAGTTGTCTGTAAACATTTTGCATTAATTAACTTACAATATTTTAAGCAAAGAAACCAAACACATACATAAAAATTTATAATGTTTATTTATGTATGTGTTTGGTTTCTTTGCTTAAAATATTGTAAGTTGCTTTGCATTGCTGTGGTGAAGAGAGAGCAACTGATAGATTTAATAAATATGGACAAAGGACATTGGGTATACTGTAATAGACAATTTTCATCTTGGGAAAAGTTATGGGGGGAAGATTTAAAGTTTACAGTGTGCTGTACGTTGAAAGAAAACTATACGAAAATTGTTTGGCGATCACTCGCAGCCGAGTAAGATTGTCTTCCATAAACATGGTTTCAACAATGAGTCGATGTACCGTTGGCAGTTAACACCTACAAGGTTAGCAAAAATGTATCAAACTGCTACCAGTATATGTTGGAAATGTAAAGAAAGAGAAGGCACTTTCTACCACATGTGGTGGACATGCAAAATAACGAAAGCTTTCTGGGAAATGATATATAATGAGTTGAAAAAAATGTTCAAGATAACCTTTGTGAAAAAACCAGAAGCTTTTCTATTAGGAATTATAGGTGATGAACTACCAAAGGACTTGAAAAGACTATTTATGTATGCGACGACAGCTGCAAGGATGCTTTTTGCACAGAGATGGAAAGAAGACAAAGTCCCAACCAGAGAAGAATGGAAAATCAAGATGATGGACCATACCGAAATGGCAAATTAACCAAACAGACCCCTGTGTTGCAAAGAGTACGTCAGCAATGTCTAGGCAACACGATGACCATGTACATATGGAATAGACAATCTTTATAGAATTCCTTCAAACCATAACAAGTACAAAATGAAATCTTTAGTCTCAAAGTCTCTGAAAATCTTTAAATGAAGCGAGGTACCAGACTTAGTACGATGAAAGACAAGCTGTGTATTCCGAATATTGACTACTGTTTTGTAGAATTCTTCATCAGCGTGGTGGGAGGATATAGAATTGCTTCATAAACCTATCTGATTTCGAATGAATGTATGTAAATGAAAATATCAAATTCTGTGTAATAGCACTCATGTAATAGTGTAGCCACCATGCTGATGAAGAATTCTACAAAACAGTAGTCAATATCCGGAATCACTGTTCAGTGTTGGACATCATATTTGCTGAATACACAAAGCTTCACAGCTGGGCACCACAATTTAAGTTGACAAGCTAAGTGTGCAGAGGAGGGAGACCAAGATTATCAAGGTTCTGAAAGCCAAGCCTGATGAGGAGCAGTTGAAGGAGTAGCCTGGATGTTTAGCCTGGAAGAGACTGAGAGGAGATAGGATAGCCATCTTCAAATATCTCAAGGGCTCCTACATGGAAGATGGAGCCAGCTTGTTTTCTCCTGCTCTGGAGGGTAGGACCTGAACCCATGGCTTCAAGTTACGAGAAAGGAGATTCCAACTAAGCATACGGGGGGGGACTTTCTGCCAGCAAGAGCCACTCAACAATGGAACCGTCTCCCTTGGGAAGTTGTGGACTCTCCTTCCTTGGAGGTTGTTAAGCAGAGATGGGATGGCCATCTGTCTCGGATGCTTTAGCTGAGATTCCCGCACTGCAGGGGTTGGACTGCCTGACCCCTGGAGGTCCCTTTCAAGTCTACAATTCTGTCACCTGTCCCCTGTTTACCTGGGCAAGACCTTTCCCTGTGGCTTCATTCATTGCATCAATAAGCAGTGCTTATCCCACCCTAGGACTCCTTGGAAAAAGGGGAGCTAGTTGTTGCTGTTGAGTCGTTTAGTTGTGTCCGCCTCTTCGTGACCCCCTGAACCAGAGCATGCCAGGCACCCCTGTCTTCCACTGCCTCCCGCAGTTTGGCCAAACTCATGCTGGTAGCTTCGAGAACACTGTCCCACCATCTCGTCCTGCTTTTTAAGATGCTGTCTAGGTTTGTCATTGCTTTTCTCCCAAGAAGTGGAGCTTAAATGCATATAAATAAAAGAACAGTGTTTAGGGCTTTTTTAAAAATAAAAAAAATAACCTCCTGTATGTTTCTGTGGAAACCGTGACATCACTCTGAAGCCCTGGGCGCCCAGGAGACACAGAAAGGATTTCATTTCCCCCCACATCACCCAAATGGGGGGTTTCAGCGAGGCGCCCAAGGTTGCTGGGCAACCACAACAGGAGAATAATGCGCTGTTGTCTCAGAGCTATTTGCTGCGCTTCGTGGAGGAGAAATGCTTTGAGGGGAGGCAGCCTGGAGGTCTCTTTGTGAACCGGGAACCTGGATCCGAGGGAGATGCGGGGCGCAGAATGGGATACATAAAGAGGCTTTGAGTTCCATCAGCGTCAATCCGTTTCCCCAAGCCTGGGGAAGCCAGCCCCCGAGTTTATTAATGGATTCCTTGACGCAGACGGGACCCTCAAGGCGGTTTACCGATCAATCGTTTCAAACCCACACTTAGAAAAAGAAATGCAATGTGGTCTTTGGGGGTGGCGCATAAAAACCCCATCTGCAAAATCCAGCGTGGTTTGGCAGGGAGAGTGAGAAAAGCACATGAGACCGGGGGCAAGAGGGTCAACACACACACACACACACACACACACACACACACACACACAGCAACTCTCAGTTGTGGAGGTCAAAGGGGCCTGTTTTCGTTCCCTTCAATTCTTTCCGAATAAGCAATCTGGTGGAAATGTCTCTACCTGATAATGAAAGGGGCACAGTGAGAGGCCAGCTGAATGTAGTGAGGTGAAGAATTAGGCAACTCTGGTGCCCCGGAGGGGACAAACCTGTTGCATTTCGGAAGAACATATGGGGAGGGGGATCCTGCCACCTGAATGAATTAAATTGAAACTGAAATACTTTATTGTCACTTGTGCAACTTGTATAGGGACGCGGGTGGTGCTGTGGGTTAAACCACAGAGCCTAGGACTTGCCGATCAGAAGGTCAGTGGTTCAAATCCCCGCCATGGGGTGAGCTCCCATTGCTCGGTCCCTGCTCCTGCCCACCTAGCAGTTTGAAAGCACGTCAAAGTGCAAGTAGATAAATAGGTACTGCTCTGGTGGGAAGGTAAACAGCGTTTCCGTGCGCTGCTCTGGTTCGCCATAAGCGGCTTAGTCATGCTGGCCACATCATCCAGAAGCTGTACGATGGCTCCCTTGGCCAATAAAGCGAGATGAGCGCCGCAACCCCAGAGTCATCCGCGACTGGACCTAATGGTCAAGGGTCCCTTTACCTTTACAACTTGTATGCAGTGAGATTATACAAGCACCCCCCACTCAGCTCTCTTAGTCTTAATTCCCCTTGTTTACTGACGCACACCCACCAAACCGAAAGTCAGTTGCCCTGTTGTTATCTTTTCATTCAGCAGCCTAACAGCTCACGGATAGAAGCTGTACCCTGTTGGTGCGACTAATCATGCTTCTATATCTTCTGCCTGAGGGCAGGGGATCAAGAAAGTGCCGGCCAGGGTGTGAATTATCCCTGATGATTTTCCTCACTCTCCTGAGGCAACGTTCTTCCGCGATGTCATCCAGCGGATTCACGGGACAGCCCATAATATCTTGTGCTGTATTCACGTACTTTCAGATGATGTCAAACCAGCGTACCACACTGTGATGCAGTATGAAAGGACACTTTCTATTGTGGACTGGTAGAAGGAGATCATCAAATGTTGATTGACATCATTCTTCTGAGGAGATGGGGTCTCTGTTGGGCTTTCTTAACCACCTGGGTTGTATTGATTTTCCAAGTAAGGTCTTCACTGAGATAAACTCCTAGGAATTTAAAGGAAGAGACTCTCTCCACACAGCGGGGCTAGTTCTCCTCTCTTCCTCTGAAAGTCCAACACCATCTCCTTTGTCTTGCTGATATTAAGGTGCAAGTTGTTCCCTAGGCACCATGTAGATATTTTTTGGACCTCCCCTCTATATGCTGATTCGTCTCCACCTGTTATTAAACCCATTATGGTGGTGTCATCTGCAAACTTAATAATTGCAGTAGACGGGTCAGATGACACACAATCGTATGTATACAATCATAGAATCATCGAATCATAGAATCATAGAGTTGGAATAGACCACAAGGGCCATCGAGTCCAACCCCCTGCCAAGCAGGAAATACCATCAGAGCACTCCTGACATATGGTTG